AACACCTTTCTTGTGAATTTTTTTGCTCGAAAACTTTTTTGTGAAATAGTCTGTGGGCCGTGCCATGGTTTTTAGCTAAATTTKCCGCTCAATTATTTTTTTTTATAATTTTTATTTAATTTTCTATTTATTTTATTTCCCGCTCTTGCTTACATACATACAAGGTCATGCGCTCCATTTTTTTTGTTCGTATGTACCTTCCGCGTTTGTTTTGTCATCCATTACTTGCTTGTTGTTGTTTTAGTTACGCTGTTAAACATTGTTTACTTACTTTATGAATATTAATTACTCATTGGTATTTGTTGTTGTTTTATGTAATTTACATATTTGTATGTGAAATTAGGTTTGAATACTCGCAGCAGTTTGAAATATATTTTTCTCCATTTTTCATTTTAATTACTCTTATTAATAATATTGAACGAATAACGGTTATTTTAAAAAGAGAAGAAGATTTTGGAAGAGAGCAACTTGAAGAGAGCGTATTGCTTTTCTTAAAAATATACATGTTTATCTAAAAAAGTGTTATATATTATAAGTTTTTTAAAAATAAAAAAATACAACTCGGTGCAATAATTTATTGTATTCGAGTCCTGAACATTGATATAATGTGGTCTAGACYTCATATAACCGCGTTAGCTGTGTTTTTAAGAGGCTTAGTATTAGCGATTCCTTAATGAAATTCTTCAGAGCCGATGGTATGCTCTCTGCGCTGAATTCTCACAAACAGTTCACTTGTCGAGGGCTTTGCCTTAAAAAAAAAACTCTTTCTGACCTAATTGGAGCTYTCTCTTTGCTGAATTCTCTCAAGCGGTTCAAACGAAGTCCAAAAGACTAATCTCGAARTAGAATATAATCATTTGCATTGGCAAACTTTGCAAGGAACTCAAATATTCTTCTCTAAATCTTATATTCCTTGAGCTTCCAGTTAGAAAATCTATTTAGGTTTTCAAAAACTTTAGAATCCAAATGAAACATGATTATTTTAGTACGAAATARCTTGAGTGCCATAAAAATTTCTCCTAAAAAGATCAAAAACTTCTTGAGAACTTGATTATGAAATGTGCTTCAAAGCTTTCCCTAAAAAAGCTGGAAAACTTCCACAACGGTT